CACACACACACACACACACACACACACACGCACCTTCATCTCTACCCCTCCCACCCCTCTCACTCCTCCCTCTTTGTGCCTCTCTTCGCTCTCTGGTCAGCTCCGTGTCCTGTTCAAGGACACATTGACCACCATTCTGGCCTTTTTCAATGACAAAAGCCACGAACAATAATGAAGAGTACAACTGTTCCTCTGGGTGAATTCTCCTGTTCAACCTCTCCTTCTAATCTCAGACATGGATTTAGATCTTCACTTGTGATAGTGTGGGCAGGATTAGTCATGTGGCGGTGACTAAGTATGGCTCACAGGGCCTGAACAACGAGTGCAGGATCCCCGCAAAGTGGGAAATGCAGAAACAAAATGATGCAGATAACCAGTCTTGTCTGGTCAGGACTGTGAAAGGGATTTTTATGGCTAGATAGTTTATATGTATAATATGTAATATGTCACTTTGAGATGACATGCTATGTTACCCTATGCCTTGGTGTACTATGCCATTTTACATTCGGTTCTGTTATGCAATGTTATGCCATACTACTATGCAGTATAATGTTCTGATATATTATGTGCAATAATGTGCAATGTAAGGCTATGCCATCTAATGCCTTGTCATCTAATCCTAAGCCTGTCATAAGTTATTGTTGTCCTACATTTCCCAGTTTCAATCCGTAGTAAGATGAGGGGCTGCATTCAAATGAACAGTAACTGTTTAGGGGTTTTAAAAAGCATGTAAGTGCCAAGTTAAACTGACTTATGATGAAGTTAATTAAGTGACGCCAGACTATTCTGCGCTTTGATGAAAAATTGTTGTTAAGATAACTGGTTTTAGATTTTGGAATATTGCCAACATATCATGGGGGAAAGAATTTGAAAATACATTTCAAACACTGTGTAGTGTGTGTTTAAGTAGCAGTTCTCTGCAGGTAAGGGCATATGCTGCTTTAATTGATACATAGTTGCTTTGTAATGACCGACTCAGTTAAGCCTTGATTTGATATGAAACCTGAGCAGTAAACACATTTAACATGTGACCTTTAACTGTTCAGGTTTCAATTAAACCTGAGATATGATGACCTCTAGTGGCATTCAGGTGGGTTCACTGGACACAGATACAGTGTAAAACAGCCTTTGAACACAAAGCAGTGGGTCTTGAGGAACCTTGTGAACAGGTTCAGAAACCTTACTCTGTAGATAAGCTAATTATAAGCAACAACTTTGTCTATATATCATGTCTATGATAACCCATTGCCTGTGGTCTAGCCCTTATTCATCTCTTGATAACTTACTCTGAGACAGATTGCAAACTAAATAAGACCAAATATGGTGAATTAATAAGCAGGCTACATTATCGTTGGTTTGTTGGCTAACGTTTGATAGTCAAATAGATCTTTTCTTTGCTCATTAACTGGCTGGCTGTGTTTTTGGTGTGTAGTGTTGATTTTCCCAGGCAACAAAACTGTGCTGCTTCAGATCAGTACAAGCTGAGTTTTAGACCATACTGATAAGAGCAGGATGGAATGTGAGATAATCTGCCTCTGCTTATCCACACCATCCTGCTGGTCTGAAACTTTGATTCCTACAGAGATTATTGACTCGTATGCCACAGTAAATTGATTCAGTAAAGGAAGAAAACAGGAGACATCCACTATCTCAAATGGTGACCTTTGGGTTAAGCAGTTTCATTTAATAAAGACTGAGACAAAAGAAAAATGAAAAAAGAAATAAAACACAAACCACTCCGTGCTGTAACGTTGCGGTGGTCTGACGGTGGGGTAGATGGCGTCTTTGGAGGCGGCGGCTCCCTCTCTGTGGAGCCAGGCTGAGGGTGGAGGACCGAGTGGGGGCCAGTAGCTGTCTTCACTCACTGAGCTCAGCAGCACCCCCGCCAGCTTCCTCGCTGCAGACTACAACACAACAACAATGCAGTGACTATAAATTATTTTAAATCCTGACAACTGGCATGCTGATGAGGTTATGTTGTATGAAATGATTATCACGCAGGCAGAAACAAACTGCACAAATATTAAATGTTAACCGAAGGAACTTTCCACATGGAAAGAGGGAAATTATGCTTTTTGATAAAAGCATTTTGTGCAGATTTTTTGAACGCAGCTGTGCAAATTGCTACTGACCTGCACTAATAGACCATAATTACATGTCGGCCATTTTCCTCATGCTCAGGGTGGGAACATTAAATATTGTTATGAACAGATTAATATCGTACAGCTGTGATCCACGTTTAAAAGTCAAAACATTAAATTGAATGTAGATGAAGTTGTAGTTGTAAAGTAGAGGAATACAGTGCAATGCTATATTTTATAAAAGTGAAGATTAAGCGGCTGTGTGTGTGTGTGTGTGTGTGTGTGTGTGAGAGAGAGAGAGACAACTCACCTTCCTAAAGCTCTGAGACCCTCGTGACTCCACCACCCGGAGCACCCTACGCAGCTGGTGAGCACCCTGTGCAAGATGACTAACATACAAAGAGGGCGTATATCAATGTGATGTTCAGGCTGTGAAATTGTAATAAATACCTAAATATAAAAACACAGTAACCTGTCGATAGGAGAGCAGATAACTCTCTATCACAGTAGCAGTGATATTCTGATTGCAAACTGCCGAATAAACATCAGAACTGATCAAACAATTAAAGTAACATTCCTCCAAAGTAGTTTCAACAAGAACTGAGCATTATTATACTGAAAATGGTGAATGGTGTGGATTTATATAATGTTTTTACAGTACAGTTTTTATTGCCATTCTCACAGTAACTTGCCAAAGGACACTTCGGCATTCAAATGGGAAATACTGGGATTAAACCGCCGACTGCTCTGGCCCTTCAGCCGCAGCCACCTGTATTAGTACCTAATAAACTGACCACTGGCTGCATGCAACACATGATCAACGCTTCTTTAGTTTTTTAACACTGACACCTGCTGGTCATAAATGACAGTACATCTCCCCTGCACTGGGGTCATGCAGAGCCTGAAGGCATTTTGCTCGATTTCTATTCCTCCTCACTTTTCTAAAACGAGGACAGGAGGTCACAGCTGATGGTTCCCTGCATCACAGACGAGGATGAGTCAGCAAAGACCGCAGCCTCTAAACATAACCAGTGACGTCATACAGGTGGATGAACTATGATTAATCAGTGTGAGATTACATAAGGCCATCAACACAAAAATCTATTTAAAGAGGTCCATTCACTTTCTATAGATTTTCTTACAATTGATCCTGACTCAGATGAAGTTCTGATTGGTTCACATTTAACCATCAGTTGATTAGAGGTCAGTATTTAATCTTTACAATGTTTGCATTATATTGAAGCTAAAATGAAGGTTGATTATTTTACTTCAAGTTAAAATTATAAATTCATTAAGACTTACAAACTCATTTAAAAAGAAAAACAAATACATAGGAAATATATATAAGAAAACGTATTGATCTTATTGAGCAATATTGATGTTATGATGATGGCTATTGATTCATTTATGATTATATTGGTTCATTTATGATTGATTTGTTATGTTTCTTGTAAAAAGAAAAGACATCTGTACTCATGTGATGTTATTTATAAAAGGATTTTTCTTCCTCCTGCTCTTTTTTCATTCATTGAAGGTTTATATAAGTGTATTGTTTTGTTTTGCTTGTGGAGTACACTGAAATAAATGAAATAAATGGATTAAATGTAAAATTTACAAGAGCCCTCTTAACAGAGCAGACAAATTAGTTGCAGAGAACAAAGAAGAACAGACAGAAGCTGGGTATGTGTTGAGTGTTGTATTGGTCGACTCACCCCCTGCGCAGTAGACAAATGTAAGCGCTCTGTAGCGCAGCTTGCAGGAAATAGCCCAGGTCCATGTCCACAGGTGGAGGGAGCAGATTGGCTTTGGCTGTCTTAGTGTGGGGTGTGGTTACTGTCTGTTAATACATGCACAATAAAGATAATATTCACTATATTCAGGTGGGCATTAATAAAAAACAACTTGAGTAAAACTTAAATGTCTTTGGTTTCTATTAATTCTATCATGCTCCAGTGTACTGTATCATCTCAGAGTGAAAACAACTTCTTCACCAGATAAAAACACTTTACAACATTTATCATAGGTAACAAAACATAGAGGGTCAAAAGTAATAACAACTATTACGCAGAATGACCCCACTTATTGTCATGTTATTACTACTGGTGCATCAACATGCAAGCAGTACTTTCATGTTAAAGTTAGTTGAGCCCTAGTAGATTTACTAGTCTTCAATATTTTGTGTTTTTTAATCAATTCAATCTTAATCTGAAAATAAAATAGCAATATGCTAAATAAATGTAAGTAGAGGAATAAAATAGCACTTTAATGGGTCATCTGCATGTTTTGTTGATTTTTGAAGAAGTAAAATACACTTTGCAGCCATCAGACATTTCATTCATGCAACCATACATTACACACCTCTAATTTCAGTATTAGTGACCTACAGAAACACATGTGTCATAAACACCCCGACATCTCTCTACATGTGTAAAACTTCACCTTATCGAGCTCCTGCAGGAAGGACAGAGCAGTGTCACAGGCCTTGAGGTAACAGGACAGACTCTCCTCCTCCCTCTCGGACAGACGAACCCGAGAAATTGAAGACACTGTCTGATGGTCCAGAGACAAACCTGAAAACACAAGGAGGTTACCATCACCTGCTGTCACCCACCAGCATAAAGCCAATGGTGGTAATTAATTAATATACACAATAAGATATTCTATTTAAAAGCTATTGCACTCTGTAGAGCACATGCCTCCACCAAGGCACGCACTCATAGATATCCCCAAAATATGTGTGATTTTTTAGTCATAGCAGCGACATAACTCTGGGACTGGTGGTCCATTACTAAACAGACATCGATGGCTACATTAAACAGTGTATCTGCTAAAGATGAGCACATTAGCATTGTGAGCATGTGCCTGTGCATAGCTGCTAGCATGACTTTAGACTCTAAAATATTATTCGCACCGATTGGATTTGTTTTCTGGAAAGCAAAATTTATTAGACATGTTTTACTTTCTTTAATACAGTGCTGTGCAGAGATAAGCACTGTAGATGTATGAATACAGAGGAAGCAGTAAATAGGGCAGTGGTGTCCAGATGCTGCTCTGATGCAATTTAGTGGACAAATAAACGACAGAACAGGAACTTTTCTAGACCGAGGCCTGTGACGGACAGCAGCCTCCGGCCAGACTCCAGGCCTAATCGAATAAGCAGACAGCTGCCGAGAGACAAGACCTCATCATCCAAATATTCAAATCTGACTTCATTCCCACAGCAATATACATTACGTACACAAATAAATCATGGGAAGGGGTGACGCAAGCCCCACAGGAGCTGATCTGTCTCCTCGGGTGGCCTCAGAGGCTCAAACTATCCACTGTACATATGGAAACATGGGTTTCAAAACAATCAAAAGGAAATCAAGGTCTGACAGTTATTATCATGAAATCATCTTCAGTTTCATGGGCCTGAGGTCATGTCCGATTAACAGGAAACAGGGAGTGTTATGGCATGATGATGATGATGAGTGTAACAAGATTGTCCAATGCTCCAAGGACAACGGGCTGTTTAATGTTCTGTGACTTTTCACTTTCATCATGTCGGTATTCAATGCATCAAGACGGACGGAAGTACGAAAGATACTATCTCTAGGAAAGGCAGTTTTTAAAATGCTCAAATAAATCAGATATAATCGAAATTGAACTTCTGAACTTCAGACAGTGTGTGTGTGTGTGTGTGTGTGTGTGTGTGTGTGTGTGTGTGTGTGTGTGTGTGTGTGTGTGTGTGTGGCTGAGAAATGCATGACTCGTGGTCAGCAGGTTTTGAAAACGGCATGTGTAGAGAAATCTGTCTGGACACACCGGTGCAGTAAATCTGTTCCCAGAAGGGTTTTACGTAGTTTCTTCACTCTGAATGTATCTAATATGAGACTTGATTATGGACACCGTGAGGAAACACAAAGGTTGTCTCTGTTTAGGGCCAATATGTCACATTTCCATGAACACGCTGAGGTTAAAACTTGAATAGACTCGGATGTAACTGACATAATTTGTCCCACTGAGCTGATGTTCTCCAGCTGTGTTACATTCGTCTCCACTGACTGGATTTCATGTGTCTCATGAGTGTACTTGAATACCTCTGATGCAGTGGTAATTATTATTGTCTAATTTGCAACACAATTATGTTTCTATTCAATTATTCAAAATGCAACATGTGTAACCTTGAGGTCCTACAAATGTGATGAATGAAGTTCCTTCATCTTGAAATATTTCTTAGCTGCATTCTTTGATTCTTCACAAGACGTGTGAGCTGATACAAACTTTACTAACTGTGTGAAGCCATTTCATTAGTGTGTGTGTGTGTGTGTGTGTGTGTGTGTGTGTGTGTGTGTGTGTGCCATTAGGAACAGATGTGTTTAATCGTGTAATTGATTGACACACTTTGTTCCAATAACCCTGCAGCTTCCTGCTTTTGCTAGTTTGGCCCTACTTGGCTTTACTTCCCTGGCATTAGTGTGTGTGTGTGTGTGTGTGTGTTATCTGTGCTTTTTCTAAAGATAACTATGGTGAAAGTGCAGTGTTATATTTTACTGGTCTTAGCAATACATGTACAATAAAAAAGTATTTTCAAAAGAAATTATTTCTGTGTTCAGTGTTTTTAATGATTTTATGATGCTGTAAATATCAATGGCAGCTCAATTTGTTTGTCACAATTATGATGTCTGAGGCATGAGGAAGTTTACTCAATTCATGCGCCAATTTAAAAAAAGAACAGTTTCAGTTTTAATAGAACTTGGGTCCTGTTTATGTCATAAAATACCTACATCTCTTTTTCCAGTATATTCAAAACAGTTTGAACTTCTCTCTGATGCTGCTGGATGTGCAACACAACTTTACCAAACTGCTTTGTTAGGAAAGTGGGTTTGACTGCAGTAGAGTTGGATCTTGGAAGAAAAATAAGTCATCAACAACTAACTGTGCATTTACGTGCAGTTACTCGCAGTGTTATTCATTCCAACTTCGATGTGTTCAAGTGTGTAGTAAAAGGATCAGGTGTGACAGGCATAACTAAAGTCTAAGAAGTCTGGTGTTAGGAGCTTGTGAGAGGTGAATGTGCACTTTGTAAGGGACGAAAGTTTAACATTTGTCAAGTTCACATCCAAAAACACTTTAAGCTGATTGTAAACTATGTTAATTGGTTTATAAGTGATGATGACAGCAACTCTTCTTTCCAATTCAAATTCTGACTTGAGGTGGAGTGGATGTCACTTTTCCCAGTTTGTAATTTTTTATATATTGATAAACCTGACACCATGTGAGTGCTCTATACCAGTAGGAAGGTGATCTGTGATCATTATATCTATAGCACATACAGTAGGTAGGATTTTAGGTTTCAAACCAGAGTGTACATAATGTTGCTGTTACCATTTGCCCTTTAAAGTTAGAGAGGCCTCAGGTACCTTTAATAACAAATGCCTCAGCCAGCAGGCGAAGGTGATAGGTTGGCTGGTCGTCATGTGTCAGCTCCTCCAGTCCCACCCTGGCACACATTCCCTGGGCGTCCCGGTAGCGGCCTTGCACATAGTGCACTTTGGCCATCAGCAGCAGAGCCTCATTCAGGTACCTAGGCTGGAGGACAAGAGGGAATGAATGGTTGGTAATAACTGGGGGAAAGAATAAGATAAAGCTTCCAGTGTGCTGTACCCTAATGCACCTTTGTTAGGGTCATATTAGGAAAATGAGCTTTATGGAGGCGGACAGGGTGTAAGAGTTAGAGGATGACAGCAAAGGCAGAGGACTGACATGCAAACGCAAACAGGGGGACAAGAGCAGGTATGTATGACAAGCAGGGACAGGCAACAAGTAACAAAAGCAGGTAGCAGATACGCATCACGGATCAGACTGACTGTGAGACGGCCTCGGCTCAGGATCGTGTTGAGGTGGCCTTTGGCCCTGTACAGTCTGGGCTGGGTCTTGTCAATCAAAGGTGTTGCGCGCCGCAATAGGTCCATGTTTTCGTGCAGACACTCTTCCAGCAGCGCCTCAGCCATCATTAGGGTCCCATAATCATCTGGGGGAGGGATTCGAAAAGTTAAATGTGAATTGAGTTTTGCTAGAGCAGGTCATAGATCAGAGTCACAGGTCATTTGTTTCTGTAGCCAAAGCAAACCTCACTCAGGCCACTAAAAACAACATTTCCCACTGGCTCAGAGACAAAGGTTCAAAAACGCCACAGTCTTCAAGTCTATTTAGAAACTGCAGTTTCCACCTCCCTCATACTTTCCTCAAATAGCTTTTTGTAATCACATGATAAACACTGCACATACACCTGCAATGAATCAAGATATCACAGTTTATTCGAGTGATAAACTGATCCTGTCTGCCCAGATTGTACGTGACATTCACTCTGTGCCCAGTGCTGGAGCTCAGGTCACACACACTCGATTAAAGCCTTCCTGTTTAACTTTTCATCGTGTGTGTGTGTGTGAGTGTGTGAGTGTTTGTTCTGACGCCAGTGCTTTGTTTACGCTCTGATATACTTGACATATTTGCCAGTTGGTTTTATCAGTAGAGTCAAGGCGAAGCTCTCAGTGAGGTGGGAGGTTTTAGTAGGGATAAACTGCAGGGCGAGTCTCAGCCACAAAAAATAAGGGAAAAAACACAAGAAGAAGATTTCAAACAAGTTGCAGTGGTTAGTTTGTCCTATTTACTGTCCGTGTGTGTGTGTGTGTGTGTGTGTGTGCTGAAATCTGTAGTTTTTGTTCAAGAGTGGCCATTTGTTTGTTTGTTTGCAACTACAGGACAGTTTACCACTAAATCTAATGAAAGGATGTTGTTGTGAGTCAGGAAAGAACCCGTTCAATTTTGGTGCGGATCCAGGAATTTTTTCCCACTTTTCTTTACATTTCAAGTTAGTTTTTTATCCCCACATTGTTGTTGATTTCTCATAGAATACTTTATGGATGTTGATGAAAAAATTCAGGGATATTTACGGTGTCGGTGTTGATTATTTTGTGTGGATCCAAATAAAAATCTAGTGGATTTGAATGTGAGGGGTAAAGCTGTAGTTTTGTCTGTATGGTAATAAACAGGGCTAACTACAACCACATGTAGCTAACAAGTAAAATGTGGCCTTAGCTATAAGGATTGTTTTCATTAAGAAGGCAGTTGGGCCTTGGTGGAAGTACGCACACTACCGAGTGACAGTCTCATTGTGAAAGATGACATTTAAATTTACAAGCCCGATGGAGAGTTTTCACTAAAAAGAGAAAACAAATAAAATCCTTTACATACTTCCCATGTTGTGGAGCTAAAGCGCTAAGAAATTTAGCAAAGAGGAAACAAAGTGGAAAAGGAAGAAAACTGCTGGTAAACTTGGATGTAAATGCTGTAGCTTTATAATACTCAAAAAGAAAAACATAAAAACTCGGCAAATGTTTAATGAGCAATGAAATTAATTCCACATGTTTGCTCAGCCTCAAGGATACATAATGTGTGTTTAAGTGAGGCTGAATGTTAACAAATATTGTTAGTTTGGAAGAAAACTCCACAGGGCACATTTGAATAGGCCAATATTACATCTAGAATATACTAGAATCAGTCTACAAAGTACCTTGTGTTCTATTAGTCAGACATTATTCCCCTTGGACGCTGAAACCCGAAAAAACACAGAGGACACGACCCTTTGGGCCATTTCTACCTTCCAGTTCTCTCTGTGGCCTTGTAGAATATTGGTGTACATATTATTTTGGAACAATCTTCTTTGGGGCTGATTCATATTCATATAAATATTACCGTTCTTTTTATAGCCTACAGATTAATCATTCTATTACCTATATTTACTCTTTAGGGAGCTGAGAACACAGAGTAACATAGGCAGTGTTTTACTGCAGGGTGGAAGTTTTTTTCCTCATTGATTTACATGCCATGAAGTTCCTCTATCACAGATGAACTTATGCTCCATGTTTTTAACACACTGACAAGGCCAGACCAGCAAATGTGAAGCACACACTGTGACGGCCTTCAGGTCACACTATAGTCTGCTGATGTTGAGTAACCCTTCATCATCTTCTCGTGTACTTAAAGCACCACACCGCTTTCATTCCCACTCCTCACTCTGAAAGTCTGTTCTTGCTCCATGTAACTTTGGTGAGCAGGTACGATCAGCGAAAAAGACATAGAAGTCAATAAAAAACATAATTTTTTCTGATATTCAGAGAGGAAACTTTTAAATATTAACCATTCTAAACAGAGTTTGGTGTATTTGTTTCAGCAGCAACTCTCCTGGCTGCTAGGGATCATGGGTAATATCCACTGTTTATTTGTGTTTCAGTTCAGAGAGGGGCACTAAGGATTCCCTAAATAATTTTTTATCTAAATTCATTAAACCCAACAGGATGAATCAGCATGTGTGCCTGTAGAGGGCGCTGTAGCTCAGTAAAAGTTACACAGTGTTCCTTTAAATATTTGCTGTGTTGACCTCCCTTCTTCAATATGCTGCTGAACATAAAAAGCAGGTTTTCATCCAATTTTGAAGCAGGAAAATGTCGACACTTCAGGTGAGTGGAGTGGAATATTCATTTTGTATTCTTTTGTGTGCATTGTGCGTGCAGTTTATAGTATTCCACTCGGGAGCAGCCGTATATATTGTCTGGGGCAATTTGTCTTCCCAAATAAAGATATTTTGTAAGTGCCTGAATAAACAAGGCCAATATTCACATGAAGACTAGCAAGGAGGAGGTTCTCCCTGTGGTTGTGTATATTGTGACTCAAACTGGATGTTCTTAATGTGGATCTGGATGTTTAGTGAGGGTGATGAAGTTAAAAATGGATACCAACTGTGGTACCTTGGTCTCTGCGTAAAAACTATCCACCATTTTCACAAAGACAGATTTATTTGATGTGGCAGATTTGAGCTGCTCAAAATCTGACATGACACCAAAACATTTGTGTCAGTGCATTGTTTCTGCCAAGCTGTTGGAGGTAGTTCAGGTTGCATTCACTGCAGTAAAGTTCCACAGTTTTGTTTAAAACTGTGCAACTGGAGGAGGAAATGTAATTTAAAAATGGAAAAGGGAGAGATTTTGAGTTTTTCAGATGGAGTGTGAGAGAATGGGGATGGAGGAAACATTGGAAATAGGGAGAGAGAAAGTAGAGCACTTCAAATTAGAGATGAGTCACTTGTGTTAGCCACAGGGTGACGCAAATCTACAGGTGGTTGTACTGGGTTGGTTGTTGCTCGTTCTACCTTAATTTGATGAGTAAGACCCAGATACATGTTTTGCATTGCTTCAGCATGTGGCACAGGTTAGAGGATACTCATATAACTTTGTCGGTACAGTGTGTCTTCCTATGAAAAGCCCAGACATGTTTCTGCCCTGACTTCTGCTGAAAGTGGTGATTATACTGAGGTCAAAGCTACAGCTCTAAAAGCATAAGAACCAGTTCCTGGAACATGGAGGCAGAGGTTTAGGAACACATGCTGAATTTGTCTGAGATGTTTTCGATTGGTTTAACTCTTGTGCTTCTGAGGGAGACGGTCGTGGCGATTTGTGTGATTTTATTGTGCAGTTACTGTTAGTTTGAATTAGCACCTTCATTCTTCCTCATGCCCACACTTCTGATTCACAGTCACCTGAAAGTGTATTTACTTTGTTAAGGTGGAGGCACATGCATTAGTGACTTACCAAAGTCATGTGTTGTGAGGAACAGAATGAGAAGTGTGTTTGTCATTCTTTGGGCACGTGTACAGTTTGGAAGGATTTCACGGCTGAAGGCCAAGAGTGAATAGTTCACGTTGTCTGTATATCCTGCATGAGGGTACACAATGTGGAGGCACATACACCTTTGATCATGTACACACTCTGTTACTGTGTATACTGTAAACTTCCAGCCAGGGACATTTAACTCTTGGAGACAACCTCTCTGTGACCCCTGCTCTGACGCACCACGATAAAGGTAATCAACTTGTGTCATTGCTTAGATATAAAATATTATTGTCCACATATACTAGTACTGGCAATACCATACATCATTATCCTTACTGCTCCCTTCATCTCTGTCAGACCTTTTCTTCTGTATAAATACTTTAATCATTGATACACCTTTCCAGTTATGTTGGACACTGTCTTTTCTTATGAATGTAGCAGAAAGAGGGGGAGAGGGATCAGTCACATGAGGCTCTTTCTGAGGATTCTACATTTCTTTCCCACATAAAGAAAAAAAATGGGGAGGATTTCATACCTGTCACATCCTATGAGTCAAATCATGATTTATGACCATGGGCTGTACACATAAAAATTATTATCTCTGTTATTATTATGTGGGATACATATTCTGAGGAAAGTTGTAGGCACAGTAATTTACTCTATGTAGCTGTGAGTCCAAAGTCCAGCTTGTGTAGCCTCCTGTAAAATCCCTGTGCAGAAAAAATGTGAATCCTTTTTGAATGTATATATATATAGTTGTACAAATTTGACAGTGAATCCTCGTCGTTCTCAATGTAACTTATTTCAAGCATCTGAGGCATCAGTTTTTTAAAGTGAGCAACATATTCTCTGGAAGCAACTTCCTGAAACAAATGAGAGAATAACTTTTCACATGATCCTGCACTTATTACGCGACAGAGCAGCTTTTCAACCTGGTCACCCTGTAACTTTTTTTAATCCAATGGTCTTTTTTTTGCAGCGTTCGCATGAAACAATAAGCGATGGCAAGACCAGGGAGCGTCACCTTTGGACTCAAACCCTCTAGGTGTAAAAAAAAAAAAAAACACTAGCTCACCGTCCTCGTGGAACCGCGCTGCCTGCATCTGGTCGATGATCGCCGGCATCTTGTCCCACTGGCACTCGGCCCGGAAGCGCTCCAGCTCCGCTTCCAGCCGAACCTGGGTGAAGGAGACCCGGGACGCCATCGTCTCTCTGTCCCGGTGGTGACTGTAGTCCCCGGATACGATGGGAGTAACAGCAAACTACACCAGGGGAAATAAATGTGTAATCTCTGAGTGAGTGCGCGGGGATGGAGGGTGGAGTGTGGGTCACGATAAAGGCACAGGAGGACATGACTAGCAAAGGTAAACAGTGAAACACATGATGCAGATTTTCATTTTCAGTATTAGGGTGTCATGTTAACACAGGAGCGAGTTATTATCTATCACAAGTTTAAGTTTTATACCATTATATATGGAATATTTGTTCACTGTGCACTTTCCAATGCTCACATTGCGCACTTTTACGCACACTTTACGCATTAGACTCTTGTCAGTAATGGGTTCCTCTTGACAAAAGCGTGAACGTGATTTGAAAGAAGCCTTTCTTCCTTTTAAAAACCAAGCCCCTATAATCTTCTGCACTAACACTTTAACTGGATCAGGTGGGGCTTAAGTAGTAGCACTGCAAATACATGCTCCACTCTGTGCACCCCAGCTGAGGCAGGACACATGTATGTGTCCGCAGCTGTTTGCTTCTTCTTTAAAAAAAACAGGTTCATTTCATAGATGAGTTCAGTGGGAGAAAAAAAAAAACACACATTCATTTATAATTGCTTGGCTTGCTCCCTGATCTGGCTCCAGCAGCATTGGCAGACTGACACTGGCCAACCTCCTGGCTCAGTGACAACATATCACATCTGTCATGTAATTCAGGCACAAGGTTGCACTAAGAGACAGACACGATCAAAATATTCAGTTTTACGTCACACTAACGAGATTTACTGAGGGGAAACAGCCCTAACAACAATCCAGCAGCAACACTGAACACTACGGTCCTATGAGCCACAGCACAGGGTGTCAGTCACTACTCTGGGGGGAGTAGACAGTGAGTCTCTATCAGCTACTGTATGACATCAAATAAAACCTCGAGCCTCCTGAACAGAGATTTTGCAGCGTCATTTTCTTTCTGGAAACTTGACATTTGTTTGACACTGATCCACGCCTCTCCTCCTCCTGCTCTGTGCGTGCTCCTGTGCGAGGCTGCGGATCTGACAGCTGAGCGGCTGCGTGCCTCCCGCCCCCTGCTGACGTAAGGACGGGCTGCTCAGAGATGTCTTCTGTCAGTCAAGATAGAAACCGTCTTAAAACAACGAACTTTGTCCCCTGGACACAAGTGCCTATAGAGAGAGCAGGGGTGGGTAATTGTTTTTCCTCAGGGAGCCATTTGAGGAAACCTAGATTGTTGCAGGGGACCAAAAAATGTTTTCATGCCTCTAATTTTACCACTAATTTAAGATTCAATCATAGAAATATTCAGTGCACTTACTCTTATTCCAAAGAGACCGTCTACAGTTTATATATCCCCCATAATACCACATACATCATAAATGATGTCATAATAGTGACTTATTTGGATAGAAACATTATTCAGGGTTAAATTTAAGGAGTTGTGTCATCACCATGAAGTCAGATAATGATGTCATATAGAGTAGTAACAGTCACATTACAGACAAGATCTCTAACTTATTTGAACGAACCAATCATTTGTCATGATATGCTGCTCTTTTTCTGAAGAATCCACAGATCACGTCACTATGGATCTGCAGCATCCCACCACGTGCACAAAGGTGCCAGAGCTCTTCAGTGCTGCTAGCAGATTTAATTGTTAGTGTTTAAATAGTGAAATATTAGGTCTCTTTTTTCAGTAGATGTATTTCCTCACTGGTTGTGGGTGAACACTGCATTTAAATTTATGTTGTGACAAGCTTTTATATTAATTTCGCTGCTGCCTGAGAGGAAACAAAATCATGAAGAATGTTCACACTGAGGTCGGTCAATGCTGCTGGGATTTTCCATCAAGTGTAATGATTTAAACTGTCCAGCAGGTAGAGCTGTTTAACATGGGGACATTGATAAAGGGAGAGAATCCTGAAAACAAGCGACAGATCAACACAAAAACACATTCAGGAGCTGGTGGAGGAAAAAGTGTCTCTATGAAGACAACTTCCATTTTTGTCATGGTGAAATTTACCGTCTCCTTCATCACCAGAGGATGATGCCATATATGGCACCTAACACTCTACTGAACTGAAACTGACTCTGATTCACCTTATTTTGTATAGAATCATTTATATTAAAAACACAGGATCAGGGCTGTAACATGGTGGGTTGATGATATATAAGTGACTTTATGCAACACATGTTGAAACCTCTGCACTATTTCTGATTTATTTCTCTTTTTCTTTCCAAGTGTGTCTGTTTAACTCTGTCATTTAAAGTACTTGTCATTATATGACCCACATTCCTGCTACTGGTTAATACTAGTGAAATCTTTTTCATGGGTGTGAGAAACAAGTGGATCATGTGTAAAAGTGAATCTCTGAATTTAACAAAGAGAAAATGAACATGAAGGGAGCTGTGAATAACTAGCGAATGAGCATTCCACCGGGGTCTCCCACACACAGCCAGGGACACAACTGTTGCTCTTCAGCATCTTTATTATATCATAAACTTACAAAAACTCTCCACTTAATTTACCAGCACCTTCTGCTGGCATTCATCTCTTCAGCTCAGTCTGTCGTGTGTGTCTCTCCGTCCCTGTGTAAGCTCTGCTGCCTTCAGCTAACAGCCTTAATCCTCTGGTACAGGTGGAGGTGCTCTCTGAGCCACCTCTGTGCAGCCCACAATTACAAATAACTTTTCATCCAACAATCATTTTTAAATGTCAACTCAACTATAATACAGCAGCTGACTGGATCTGTTTCACATGGTATTTCATGTCAGATTACAATCTCCTGTTACTGAGATTTTACTTAGATTTTTCTGTTTTTTCATCAATGATACATGTGATTAATGTCCTGTAAGTTAATTTCCTTGTATTTGAAACATAAAGAATAAGACTGCACATAGAGACTGAACCTTAATGTAACAGATTCATTGTTGAGTAACTTTCATGTGAAACAATAACTTTATGTTATCTCTGTCTGTCCCTCACACACACAGGGGCGGACTGGGACAATGATTCAGGCTGGACATTTGAGTTATTTCCAGATCACCCTGTTCATGCAAAGCACCAAACCTATAATTTTGTAGGCTAACGTGTTTGTGTATGTAACAGTTACCAGACAAGTCAACAAGTAGTGATCAATGATCTCTGAGTCTCCTCTCAGCTCAGCTCCCAAGAACCACCAGCAACAAATGATTACAGCCCATTTAAAGGTTTATTAAAACTCTGTTCATGCTTTAGGGTGGGCCAACAGCAAACAGAAACAACCTTAAGACAAGACAAGTCACTAAGCTAACTCCTAATCCAAAAAACAAGAGAACCAGAGAAAACAAGGTTAGACAAACATGCTATCCACCACTACCAAACCAGGCTGGTACATCAAGCAACAGATCTTAACACATTTCACAAGCAACAATTCTGGCTGACAGTCTGTCTGCAGTGGCAAGAGGAGAGGCCGCGGGGGGGGGCTGGAACCAATCAGCTCCCTGGAAACAAACCAGCACACTCACAGTCAATCATCCACTCAGTGGTCATTGAGTCAAACACACCTGCAACACAACACACACAGGGACCACAGCTGGGGGGGGGGGGTATCCACAATATAGACACAGCAGATTAAAGTACATACACTGACGCACAGGACATCTCACACATCCTCAGGGTTGTAACACCCCCATCAGTATGACAAGTCTCAGAAGGTTTTACTGTAGACTTGAAAAACATTTAAGGCAAATTTGAATTCTTTTTATATTATGGCACTAACAACTTGCTCATAATAAAAATTTTTTAAAAGTCCTTGACTGATCGTGGTGACCCCCCCACTGTCTATATACCAAGTTTCTGAAGATTTTACTGTAGAATTTCTGAGACAATAAATATGCAACTTTGCCTACTTTTTCATTATGGCACTAATTAATATGAAACATTAATTTAAAATAAATTCTGGCGAGACAGTCCAGTTCAGGAGGATTGTGGGTAGTGTAGTACTTCTCCGTGATATTATACACACTCGTGTCTTCTACGGGATCATACAACAGAATCATACACATGGAAACAGCGTCATTCTTCCCAGACAAAGACAAGAAGACAAACACCGGAAGTGTGTGTCTGGCAGTCAGCGCAGTGAACCCTCTCGCTCCCACTGCTTCCTCTCTGATAATATCAACCAATCATAATGAGCTGTCGTGTCCAAGAGGAACTACGGCAAGCGGCTGGGTCCCGAGGAGCTGTGACTCATCGTCATTAAAGCGAAGTAACGGTGTAGAGCCAGGTGGAGACTCACGGCAGCTCCAGGTAGGTGCCGACATCACTTTAACAAAAACCACGCAAACACTAACGCGCCTCGTGATTTCAGTGCAGCGTTCAATTGCAGCTTCCTCCTCTAAAGTGTTAGCATAGCTGATGAGCTAATGTTTCCGTTCATTGCTGTGGCTGCACAGTGTCGTAAACTCCTGCAGTCTGTTTCTCTGCACATGTTCGTCTCTGGCTCTTTCACGATTCCTCTTCAGTCAGTGTTTACGAACACAATGATGATTTCTCAACGGAACAACACAGGATGTAGGTAGACTGTGGAGATCCATGGTTATTGTTTTAAATATTGGGAAAGTGAGAGAAAAAGATAAAATGTAAAAGATCAGTATTGTTAGACGAGTGGTTTTATCAGGATATGTGTCCTGCACCTTGATGTAGATTCAAAACGCAGCATTAAAGTTGTATTTGTAATATTTGTCCTGATGTCTTTGTCTCTGTTTGTCTGCCTTTCTGTGTTTGTCTGTCTGTCCTTGTGTGTGTCTTTCTGCCTGTCTGCCTGCCTTTGTGTTTGTGTGTCTGCCTGCCTTCCTGTGTGTTTGTCTGTGTCTCTTTCTACCTGCTTGTCCTCCTGTCAGTCCTCCTGTCTGTCTCTCTGTCTGTGTGTTCAGCAGTATGAGTGTCAGGTCTGCTGTGCACAGTGGGGGCGTGCTCGTCCTCCTGTCCTGCTGTTTGCTGTGTGTTTATTCTCAGGTGGATCAGCAGCCGCCGCCTGTCGTAGTGAGTGCAGCTCACATAACGGGCCACGGTCACGGTCGCCTGGACAAAAACATGGTGCAGGACAAAGAGTGAGTGATATCTCCCCTCATTGAAAAGGCTTATTTACACATGGTAATGGACTTTGAACTCAGCAGCGGCAGCGTTCACACACTGAATTCAAAATCTGTGTTTCTTGTTCTCTTCAGCCACATCATGGAGCATCTGGAGGGAGTGATAGACAAACCGGAGACGGACATGACACCCCAGGAGCTTCAGCTTCACTATTTCAAGATGCACGACTACGATGGAAACAACCTCCTGGACGGGCTGGAGTTAGCCACAGCGATCACACATGTACACAGAGAGGTAGGTGTTAGTGGTTGTGTATATTTGCCTTTATTCTTTTTGAACACATTTAATTGCTTTTGTCATCATTCCCAAAATGCACGTATTAGTTACTTTATTGTGATGCCTTTCTTTCTTTTTTTTACAATCCCACCATGCACCTGTCTTATGTGGAACAGGTTTCCCTCCTCTTATCGGATATCACGCCACCCACTTGTCTAAGTGCAATATCAAATTTCAGATTCCTTTCAATACCTGTTGGATCTGAAGTGTTTAAAAATGCACCTTTTAAATATCTTTATCACCCACATGGTTTGTTCCTTCTTATTTGTTTTGTCTAAATGTGACCTGAGATGAAAAAGACGCTTAAAACCAATGGATGCAGATAGAAACTGCATCAGAACTTTTATCTTTATATGGAAGAAGGAAGCTTTTCACTCCAACTCAGACTCCAAATGTCAGTTTGACAGTATGTGGGGGGAAAAACTACGATGCCCAGAAATCATACAACACACTGTAACATCAGCAAACCATGCATACCATGCTCATATTCCTCAACCTTGCCCGTCACAGTAAATGTAAATCAAGGTTTTGGTCTTCGACCAAAGATTTTCAGTGAAAATATATGAAACACAAAAAGCAGCAAAGCTTCACATGAGTTCCCCATTTTTAACTGATCGTCAAAATGGTTGCCAGTTTATTTTCTGTTGATCAGTTTACCAACACAGACATTTGTGGTTTTATGTTTCTTTCCTCGTCTAGGAGAGAGGGGAAGACAGCCAGCCAATGAAAGAGGAGGACCTCATCACGCTCATTGATGATGTTCTGAGGGACGATGACAAAAACAATGACGGTTACATCGATTACGCAGAGTTTGCGAAATCACTGGAGTAAACTGTCTCCATGTTTCCTCATGTCAACAACAACAGCAAAGGATCTGCAGAGAGGGTGTACGTAAACAGAGAAGCTGCACCGCTACGTGGAAGACCTTCGTTCAATCTGCTCTCTCTCTCACACGGGCAATCAATCAGGATTATTGGTAATTTATCATAGTTTTTTGATATTTTCTGAGCTTCTGACATGTTTTTTTTCTTAGTTGGAAATCAGGAGCAAATTAGTTCCTTTCATACCAGTAATTTAATAAGCAACAAAAAGGTGGAACACGTAATTCCACTTTTTTTGAAATGCACTCTTGGTGTATGCTTATAATTACATTTAAAAGGGCCAGTTCACCCAGTATCAGTAACAAATATTTATTGGATAATCTTATTGTTTTGTTGATCTGACCCTTGTATAGTAGCACTGTTGAGTGTCTACGTGTGTCCTTCTTTTCAGTGGTGCTACTTTAAATTCACTTGTAGCATCTAAACTGAATGTCATCACTTTAAATGAATGAGTTTTTTTTCCAAACTGTGTTGTGTAGATGGCGGACTTAAACTGACGCGCACTCCCTGTTTGGTACTCAACAAAATGGACCAAACGATTCGTCTGTGAATCAATTTCATTCGCTGTTTGTGATGAGGATGATGAGGCGAACAGGTCGTTCCCGTGACAACAGAAAGTGGCCTTAATCAGATTTTCAGTGATGATGTGTGTGTTTGTAGAGTAGAAAACCCTGTTGAGATGATGAGCTGACTTTTTGGTGAGGATCCTGTTAGATGCAGATCAACATGGATGTGAAGGTCTCCAGCAGACTGACACACTGTGTCGCATCAGCACCTCACGTTGAAGTGGTTCTTCATCATCCTCCTGTCGTCGCTCAGCTAGAAGATCCTCAACAATGACCTGTTGTCATAAAGTGAATGTAAATCAGCACGTTACTGTGACGTGCTGGTTCTTTATCACTGGATAAGCAAAGACTTGAAACACACTGGTCGATGCTGCTCCCACAGCAGCTTTTTTAAACTTCACAAGTTTCCAGCTCTGTTGCCGAAGATATAAGCTGCCTTTAAAATATACTGTAACTACGATTGTGCCCATTTAACATGCGCCTGTTGTGGCATTTCTACAGAAAGTAGATGGGTCTAATTTCCAAACTAACAAGGAATCATCATGTGACAGCAAGTTCAGTTTAAAATACACGGGTGGGGGGGGGGTCCTGAAAACAGCTTGTAAAAAACATTTCACAAGCAACACTGCAGTTCCCATGATCCTCATAAATCCACCTCCTCAATCAGATCAGTCAAAACTCAAAAGAGGGAAGAATGGACAGAAACATCTGTGATTTCTTCATCAGTCTAATTTTCATGAAGATTCATTCTATATTTTTGCCATCCAGTGTTGATTCTTCAATCATCAGGTTGTTGAATGAAAATATTTAAAACCCAAAGTGAAAGCATAACAGATGCAACTGTGTTGTCTCTGGAATGTGAAATATTAAAAATTATATATAATCCAATCTTGTGTCTATTTTGTCTTTGAAGTGAATCATTGTGTAGAATTGGATGAAGATAATGAAATCAACTTTATTCTGCAGATGTACATTCATAAAATACATATTTAGGCTGAAAAGCAGTAAAAATGTTTTCATAGTCAACTAAAAATTAACAAAAAAAGTTCCTAAAACTGACACTGACACATCAACTGGCTTCAACTGATCATTTTTCAGGAAGATAATTAAATTGTCATGACAAAATTAAGTTTGCAACTTCAGTGAAAGCCATGAGATGGCGCTGCAGGCTCCACAACAACAAGTACAATTTAAGTTGATTAGTTAAGACAAAGAAAAACTTAATTGTCGTCTCACAAACTTATTCTTATTCTAAGAATGAAAAATAAGCTTCACACTCACTTAAAGAATATTTTTTTTAATATATGTGAACAAAGATAAATGACATAAACGTCACTACATACTCAAAGTATCAAAGTTGTAAAATGCAGGAGTGAAATCGTGGACTCGTTGTGTATGTGTGTAACAAGGTGTAGATAAGAAGGAAACAATTTCATGTATTTTATTTTGAAATACACAACATGTTTCCCTGGTTACATCTTAGCTCCAGTGACAGGTGGGGTCCAGAGGCTGCATGGAGGCCAGTGAGAACATGGGTGAGGGGAGGTTGCCCCTCAGGGGGCTGTACCAATCGTCATGCTGGCGCTGAGAAGCAGGCTGTGGGGCAACACTGGGACAGGGGCACTGGCTGACCGGGCCCGGGTGGCGGGCATACGCCCCAGAGGGCAACATAGGGGAGAGGCGGGGGATGTGAGCCAGGGGCTGGGTGTAGTACTGTCGAGCCAAGCTGGACGGCTGGACGTGCACGCCTCCCAGCAGAGCCCTGTGACCCGGCATTACACCCACAGGGAGCAGCTTCTGAGAGGCCCGCTCCTGCTTCCGCTGTTTGGCTCTTCTGTTCTGAAACCAAACCTGTGGAGACAAAGGTAAGAGACGAAGACAGATGAGGACATGTCAGGTCCACCTTCTGATATATATGTTATTCCGTTAGAGTCTGTTCAGCTAAAGAGAGACATTGAAGCTTTGCCTTGTTATGTCTTTACACCTAGAATACAGAATACAACAAGGTCATGTTTTCATTCGCTTGTGTGTCTTTAGTAAGATTTCATTACAACCACAGGACAGACTACCATGAAACATCATAGAAGGACGAGCCCACATAGAACCCATTTGCTTTAGGAGATCCAGATGAATGGAGGGATCTAGGATTATTATTTTTCTTTCTTTAACATTGTGAGAGAGACATTTTTTTAACATTTTCACTGATTTCTCAGAATAATTCATGGATGTTGATGAAAAACATCAGGCATTTTTAAGGAACTGATATTTCTAAGTGTGTGCAGTTTGGTGCATAAGGGGAATGTTGGGCCTCGGCCGAGGTATGTGCTCTGCTGAGGGCATTCTAGTCTTTATCCATGAAATCTTGCATCATCAACAATCAGAAGCCATGATGTTTTGAATCGTCAGTATTAGAAGACAGTTAACTGGGACACGTGAACACAGACGAGATGTTCATGTTCGAGGGACGCCTGCTTCTCCTGTTATGACAAGTCTAAACTTCTGTTGTGAAAAGTGAAGTTTATTATCCATAAGATAAATATCCCTTATCTGTACCTGTATGCGAGCCTCGTTGAGTTTGGTGATGCGGGCCAGCTCCTCTCTGTAGTAGATGTCAGGGTACTGGTTTTGTCCGAAGGCCACCTCCAGCTGTTCCAGCTGCTTGTGGCTAAAGGTGGTGCGGTGGCGTCTCCTGGTCGCGGAGGGGTACGCCCTGCTGCGGCGGCTGAGACCAGCAGCCATGGAGGTCCCACACAATGACCCCTTCCTCACAGACTCTCCTATATCTGTTTTCAGGAGGGGAAATAAAGGTTGAGGCTTTGCGTAACTGCTGAAAAGACTTCTACTTTTTTTTGCAGACAATTCTCCAGCTCTTGTTTCTTTTGGTCCTTGTGTTTCCCAGGTTGGAATGATAAAAAAAAAAGCGTCCTAAAATTGCAAGAGCGCATTTCACCAATGACAGTGTGAAAAAGGAGGGATTACACTGACTTAATGGTTCCCACTGCCGTCAGGCAACCTGAGAGCCAGAGAGCTTTAGCTGCCAAAGACTAGCTCGTGAGAAAGAGATACCAGAAACTGGAGGATTTGACCAAGATTAATGACACAATCACTAACAAAGTGACCAATCTGTGTAATTGGTGAACTGAGTTGACCTTGTCTATTCATATCATGGTGCCTGGAAAAGACAATAGACAGACTTGATGGTTGGTGAACATCTGGCACAATTTGTCTTTCCCCACATTTCCCCTCGTTCAAACGGCCTCAGAATGATTTGAAATAAGAGTTTACTTGCATTTCATATTACAAACAACTTTGAATAATGTAAAGAAAAATCATTTTATGTTGCTAACAGGAAACTTCAACAACTAATGCACGAGGGCCAGAAAGTTAAAGTTGAACCTATTAAGAAACAATGCTGCTATTCAGCTTCTATTCATTGAATAAATCTGTTCTAAGAGACATTTTAAGTTTAAAGTGCGATTTCTCTTTTTAGACGATGCAACATTAGAACTCTCATTGAATGGCATGTACAATTAACTACAGATGATAAAACATAGTTTTTGTAATCTAATAGCTTTACATCATATAATGTCTTTGGACTCACCTGCACTGGAGCTGACAGTCGCCATGTCAGAGTAAACCTCTGCACAGTCCTGGTGGCTCCTCGCCACTGCATCCCCTGCTACCTTTACCTGGGCCATAACCTCACCTCTGCTCTGTGACGGGATGGTCCGCACTGTCTGACACCCACCCCCCTCCATGTCCATGCCCATGTCCCACCCATCAGGTTTACCTTTAACAATACAGGTGTGCCTCAGAGACCAGAAGAGATAGATAGATAGATAGATAGATAGATAGATAGATAGATAGATAGATAGATAGATAGATAGATAGATAGATAGACGGATGGATAGATAGATAGATAGATAAATAGATAGATAAACAGATAGACGGATAGACAGATAGATAGATAGACTTTAAACAATTGTCATGTAAATTAACTACTGCCAGCCACCCTGCTGTACTGTATACTGTAAACCTGTAATAACACCATCTACTGAATTACAGTACATAGCTGTATTTTATTATTTTCACAGTAAACTGCAGGCAGCCAGGAATTTACCGTTTTCCTACTGTAACCTTTGTCTTCAGTTAAGTGCTGCTTAAATGCCGCATACTAAAACATATGATGGTGCTGTATTTTCTTACATTTACACTATACTATCAGCATCAGCCTGAACAATATTGTTTTAAATGGAATTAAAACATAATCTCAAATACAGTTCAATGTAATCTAATGTAATCGCAGTATGAATGACAGTCAATTCTTGACAGTTTTACCAAACCTTTGGCTATTTTGATGTGTGTGTGTGTACAACTCAATGATTAAGGTAACTTAAATGCAGCAACCTAAATACTCTATAGAAAAGAAGAGACTTAGAAAATAGTAACCCAACATTTATTTATAACACCAATTGAAATTCTTACAGTTTTTTGTTAGAACAAAGATGTCGATTACAGTTGGAGATTTCAGCATGTATAACAGAACATGGTATAGTTATCAGTATGTTCATTAAACACTTTGACACTGCAAGTATTGCTGCTTTTTCAATAACAATGCACTCTTTTTAGTAGGACAAAAACATGAATCCTTCAAAAATAATCTATAACCAGAGAAACTGAAATACAAAAAGAAAAGATTTATGGTGATCCACTGCAGCATTCTAATGGATGCTTTCCTGACCCATACCACATCCTTCCACCAAGTTTCATGGTGACCCGTCCAGTACAACAAACTAACAAACAGACAGACGTGGGTGAAAACATAACCTCCTTGGTGGAGGTAATAACTTACGCTGCTTTTACTGTTCTCGATAAATTAAAAGTTTGCTTCAAATCTGGTGAGTTGCAGTTGCCTTTGTGACCACCAGGTGACGACAGTGACTCAGGCACAGAGACCGATTGAAAACTGAACTACAAAACCTTACATGTGCAAAAGGATCAATGCTCAGCCTTCGTGGACGCTGTGGAGTGTGGAGACCACCCAGCTGAGTACACACCCCAGTCCTCCAAAAACACAACCCCTCTCAGGTCAGTCCCTGCCTCTGGTTCGCTGCGTGGTGACTGACAGGGCACCCCGTCGGCTGGATTAACTCAGCTGAACTCCTCTGTAACCTCCCAGGACCCCAGCTGCTATCAGCAGTTCCCATGATGCTAAACTCAGTCCAGAGTCAGTGCGGAGGAATGGCCTTCTCACACTGCGCTGGATACTAGGAAGAGACCCGCTAATGTCCTACTCAGCACTGAGTCATGGCGGGCAGCACCGGAGGCCACTACATAGTTGGAGAGCGGCAGTTGGCTCCTTATCAGCGCTCAAACAAGACAGTAATTCATCATGTGCTATATTTGTTGGACAAAGCTGTTTGCCTGTGTGTGTGTGTCCATATAGTGGCAGTGATGTGGACTAACCCTGCACATGTTGGCCACATGCATCTTATACAGGGAGGGTGGTCACTATATCAAGTTCTTCTAGTAGTGAGTGTTTGATGGTGCTAAATTCTGAGCTGTCCCTCTCCTTCTTACAACTTGTCTGTCATATCATGAGCCATATGACCCGAGCGATCCATGCACTCCCGAGAACCAGTAAATCAGGGGTTCAAACGCAGACTGATGTTTCACACTGATATAGTAGATTGCAGCCCCCCCCCCCCCCCCCCCCTGCCCCCCCTCCCTTGGCTGCAGGATCCTTGCCAGGAAAGTGCAACAGACAAAAAGCAGTGATTGAGTGATATGCTGTTGAAGCAGGTCTGCATGGTTGTCTGTAACATATGAATTCTCTGCTTGAATTACTCTTGAGATTGTACCAGATTTACAGAGTTATGGTTTGAGAG